TAAATAAAATATTATTGTTTATGTTTATATGATAACACCGATAACGCTATCAGGTGTGAAAAAAATATAGAAGATAACGTAGGCAATGTGCCAATGATGTATATAGTCACCAACATCTATAATACAACATTGTGTATTTGACATTTGTGTATTAGAAGACTATTAATGTTTAATGTATAACGATGATGAAACGTCAACTTGCAACAATGTCTTGTTCTAATGTTGTTTGTTGGTTGAATGTCTTCTCCTCGCTCCTGCGGATGTTTGGATGTAATTCGTGAATACCTGCTCCGTGAACTGTGAAATATTTGATACATATAATATCTGTGAGACCAGTGTGTTGAAGMATAATAACCATGACGCATCTGTCAAGAGAATTTCCACCACCAGATTATTGTTTAGAGACCGTCGAGAACAAGGTATGTTCACAATAAATTATGTACCTACCTATGTATGCATAAGTCTCAGACAGAAAAAAATAGCTGTGCTGCATAATATGTATTAATCACAAACCCTGCGCTAGAGCTTTTATTATAACAAGCCGCCCCCAAGCTTTTGATAAATATAGTTATGATATTTTTTTTATTCAAAAAATATTTTAGTTTTTATCATAACTTTTAAGTGTTCCTTTTAATCCATCATGGATTTCTTTATTCTAAATGGTAAAAATGTTGATCTTTTATGATCTAAAACAATAAAGCTTATTGAAAATATGTTTTTTTCAAAAATCTTTGTTGATTATATCTAAAATTGAAAATAAACTGACAGGTCGAAATTAAAATACAAAAATATTGGTTCTTTAGATTAATATAAAAATATATTATTAACCTGTATGTAATGTATGTAAGCACTAAGCAATAGTAAGCTTTTTGAAATAATGAGTGGGGTTCATGATAAAAAAATCACCCTRTATAAATAATATTGTTTGAATTTCTTTAAATTATTATAGACAGTACAATAGACAATAAWTTTTGTACTACTATAGTGTATTGTGTATGGTTAGTAAATACCTTGATTTCCAATGTAATATTTACTTGATTTTTTTAGCTGTATATAAATAGTGATTTTTATGTTGGTAACATAATTATGAAATATTTAACTATAAATGTACAAAAAAAAAAATAAAAATGTAAGGATATAAGTTTGAGGAATTAATTAAGAAACCTTCTTCCAGCTTTAAGGACCATTGAGGCCTATGGCTGCTAAACAAATTCTTTTCCCCGCTCTTTTCCAACTGGCACTATCCAGAGCTAATTCATCAATATTGTATATTCGTAGATGTATTAGTTCCTTTTTTCTTTTGTCGTTCTACTTCTGTTTTGAACTTCCAATTAGTTTCCTTCCCCGGGGGATCCAGTTTAGTGTATCATTTGCTTTTTATTTAACCCTAAATACATGACCAAACCAAGCCAGTGTCTTGTGCCRTATTTCCCCTATTATATTTGATTTAACGAATAATTCTTGTAGTTCCCTGTTATATCTAATATTGTATACTTGGTATTTATTCWTTTAGATCTGTATATCTTCCTGACAAATTTTCTCTTCATGGTAGCGAGTCTAACTATTTTTAACTCGCTAAGTCCTGGGTCATGTTTTACATGTGTACATTATCACAGGTCTTGCTATTTCTCTGTAGTTGTTCTTTTGATTTTATCGACAGTATTTTYGACTCCATTCAGCCAGAGAGGCCGTAAAACATTTGTTCCTCAATGTAATGTGTTTTTTAATTTCTTAAGTTGTCACTCGTGCTGCTTAAGTTGGTGCCTTGATATTTAAAGTTATTTATTTCCTCAAATATATATTGACCTACCTATAATCCAACTGCCTGTTGTATCTAACATTCGTTCCTGCCGACTCGCCGACACTTAATTTTAAGAATTTTTTGGCTTTGAATGAAACAATTTTTGTGGACATACCTTTAGTAAATTATTATTTATTTTTCATTACTTTTCTCTACTCAATATTTATTTTTGTGTCCTAATGAATTCCATTTTTATTTATTATTAAATAGTTAAGTTAAGTATTGGTTAGAAATTGAAAAATATTTTCTTACAAAACAATTCTATAACATATAAATTACCTAGATTAATAATTGTTATAAAGGATTTTAATTATGTATGATATAGCAGCAATACTCATTGAAATCATTAATTAGGTTATTCAGTCATTTTTTATTTTAAAATAGTAAACATTTTAAAAAGTAATTTTATAAATACAATGTCTTATACCAAAAACAGATGATTTTGACTAAATACAAATTCTATTTTTTGATTTAAAATATTTTGAACAAAGATACCTAGAGCCTAGAGGCTAGTACTCATTTACACCCAGGTTATATATTAATTTTATTTAATATTGTATTTTGTATTCAAACTATTTTTTACTTATATTTGGTTTAGATTATTTAAACATAAGT